TGCTTCTACAGATGAAAATCATAATACACAAATTACTTCTCTGTCTGACCTTAGGCAAGGATTTCTACCTCTTTTCTAACGTGATAGAAAAGTCTGAGCTTTGCTTCCAAGCAAAGCTTGTACAGATGAAAATCATAACACATAGGTTAAGTTATGCTAGGTACTGTGCAAACATATACAAATAGGGTCTCTGAAGAGAATGTATAAACTACAGTCTGTGCCTCTAGATTACAGCTCTAATTAGCACCAAATGGAGCAACAGTTAGTGTGATGTGGGGGTCTGCTCTGCTCAGAAGCAGGCTGGATTCTAACAAACTAATTTCACAGAGGTCATTAAACATACTATATCAGTATAGCAAAGCAGCTTGTAAAAAAGATCTATTGTAATAAAGTGAACCTAGCCCCTTTACCTAGAATTTGCAGACCAGTGGCTCTTTGCTTCTGACAGTAGGGGTAGGAAATAGCAGCTGGGCTCATCAGTGCTTTTGATATAAAGCTTCAGGCATAGTCATTTACCGTCACTGTGATTAGTAAAAATGCATGTGAAATATTATTATTCACATCATATGTTTGCACCAATAGAAGTTTCATGGCTAATATCCTACCCAGTTAATGTCTCATTAGGGCTGGAATTGTCTGAGATGTTTGCTGGGCATTTATATGATAAATACTCCCTTCTCTTTACTAACAGCAAGATGTCAGAATGGGCAAATACCTCTCCACTGAAATAATATTAAATGCATGTTAGAAATCCACGACTGTTTGGAAATTCAACATCAGGTCTGAAATATATAATTCTTTGATATATAAAATCAGTGAGCAAGTCTCCCAAGAGCTGATAGTGCCAGGTGCTTCTGAGGAAAGGTTGCCACTCATGTATGCGCAGGATGGGTTCTGTGAGCCTTTCTTTTTGGTCACGGCTTGCAGTCTACTTAAGTCCTGGCATATGAGGATTATAGATGGGAGTAATCTTAGATGCTTGACTTAAGAAAGACTTGACATCTCCTAGCATTAGGCATCTAATAAGTGCTTAAGCTAGGAGCTCCATCCTCTAGACTGTAAGGAGTGATTTAGTGGCTTTTTCAAAGTGTAATTGAAAGCAAAAATGTCTTAGGTGCTAAAGTTGATGCCTGTAATTAAGTAGTTAGAATACCTCCTGTTCTCCCTTTCCAAGTTCCTCTCATATGTGGACACAGTGACAAGTACATCTCAAAGGGAAAACTGTCACGAAGATCCCAGCCAAAGGAGCTTGAGTTTCGAGTCTGTAAAGCCATGGTTGCTTCTACTTTATAAGCTGCAGTATCTATGTACAGAAGGTGAAATAAAAAGCTAATTCCAGATTTGCATATTTAAGCTAGATCCTTTACAACGTTTGAACTTGGAATAGAACAGAAATCCTGGGTGAATAGTAGATCTCCAGAAATAAATAGCCAAATTCCCACTGATTTCAATGAGAACAGGGCTTCCCTGGTGAGGTTTGAATTCTGAGCTTCCATGCGGAGCAAAAGATTTTCTGCTGTCCCTGTTGACTCACAGCTCACAATCATGTGATCCCAACCATCTGTTTTATAAACTTTCTGATATAAGTCTGAAATACTTGAATTCAGTCTGACTTGTCCTCCTGGGAAAAGCAAAAAGTACTGTCAAATTCCTTGTTTATTTTCTCTCAGTTTGTCTCAGAAACTTGTGTTTGAGAGGGAGAAGATGCCTTCATCATCATCCCTCGAGCTTTCACCACTGCAAGGTCAGCCTGCTAGCTCGAGGTAGAAATGGGCTGCTTAGAGGTAGATAGGTTGCTTATCACTTGTTCTTAACCTGAGGAATTTAAATTAAGATCTTATGAAAATGCTAAAAAGTGCCTGGAAGGCATCTCACCAGTCTGAGGCTGTCTGGCACACTGGTATAACCTCTCCTTGCTCCAAGTTAGAGTCCGTGGGAACGCAGCCTGTAGTGGGTGGCAAACTCCATCTAAAGCTAAAATACTAGCAGAGATTAAAGTCAGCAAGCACTATGAAGAAAGAGTTCAAAGGAGATTGAAAGGACCTGATGCTGCTGATCACCTTCCATCTTCAAGCCGGCGTCCTTTAGGATCTTTCAAGCTGGACAGCCAGAAACAGATGCTTCTCAGATCGCTGGTTGTTTTCAAGTGTGTTTTCACCAAGGATCCTTCTAGCCAAACTCTGCTGTCAAAAACATCTTTGCACTCTGACAAACTTTATATTCTGCCTTGAGACATTTTTGTGCAAACTCAGTCTTCAAATTGTCCTTCAAATTTGCCTATTACTGGCAGATGGGCAGGCACGCTGTATTAAAAGCAAATACTCAATATTTCTATTGATGAGGCAGAGCCAGAATGAATCCAGATCACGCTAAAGTGAAAAACAATATACAGAGATAAGCAACAAAACACACTCTTATGACTAAATTGAGCAGCTATGGTTGAATACACAAAGGGAACAGATCTGTGGTGGTTGAATGTACTATTTAATGTAGCTGCTTTTCAGAGCAAAGGCTTGCTAATCAAGCCTATGACCGCTATTGTACTAGAAACTTAGCAACAAAAGGTTGTGTGTGGAGGAAGGAAATGGTGTACTTGTGCAGTTATGCATTTCTAAGGGTTTATCAAATCTGTAGAAAGATCAAGCTATCTCTCAGGACCACCGTGCGTCTGCAAAAATACAGGAAGTGCCTTTGCCTGACCTTTATACACAATCAGAAGATTCCTTGGCAGGGCTTGTTTATGCAGCCTCTTACTCCGTCTCAGGAATGCTTTGGAGCACTGGCCTTCCCTGGGCTTTGGGGATAGGTGAGAAATATGAGCAGACAGGCAGCCTGGTACTATATGTCGCATTGAATATGCATGCTGTCACTGACTTGTTGAGGACCCTGAAGAGTGAATAATCAGAGAGACATTGGTTAGCTCAGTTGTGGCTGAGGGAGGCTGTGTGTGCTGGCACTCGGCATGGGGCTGTCCCTAGTCGCCGGAGCACTGGGCAAGGCTCTGCTCCCAGCTCGGCCACCATCCTTGTGCAAGACACTCCACCTCCCCGAGGTACAGCTACTCTATCACTTCTTTCTCTCTCTCTCTCTCTCTCCACATGGACAATAGATAGGTTTCCGATTTAGACATTTCAGTTAAGTACCTAAAATAAGCCTGATAAACGCAGGCTCCAGCGACGTAAATTTCCTTCAATAAGAGGTCGACAATGATGATGGTCACTCCTACTACTATGGAGATTCGTTGGTTTCCTTTTAGCTAAATTTAATTTAGAGGCAAAGTTCATGCTTTATCTGCAAGTATGAGAGGGGAGGGAGAGAGTGGGACAATATGATGCCTCAGAGAAGAAAACGACCATTTATTTTGTCACATTTTTTTACATCATACTCCTCATACAACAGCTTAATTGTAACACTTAATACATTTTTTAAAAAACACCAAGATTACTTGCAAAATTATATATATTTTAATATCCAAAAAGTACATTGCATATATATAGTAGCAAAAGCCCCATTTCCATGGGTAATTTCTTCATACTTCTTAAATTTTGCGATTATTGCAGTAATGTTACTTATAAACATCCCAAAAGCACTAAGACCTAAACTGATTAGCTTGATCTTATTTTTCCTTTTTGTTAAATAATGGCATCAGTGCTTCTGTTTAAAGTTATGAGCAGACTATAATGTTCTGGTTTTAGGCTCTCGTCCTGCAACTGGATGCACATAGACCAAATCTTGCACCCACACAGAGTCCCAGAGGTTATGTCTAGACTAGACGTTTGTGATCCTGTTAATTGGTTGCCAATTAATACTAGCTAGCTAATAGGTTGTACATGTAAGTCTACCCCCGCCTCGACATCTGTTCTAAAACGCAAATGCTTGCGGTTTAGCCTTCTGTTTATGGCACCAAACTGCCATTTGCAGCTCATCAAATTAACATCTGCAAAATTAGAAGGCTGAAAACTTTAAAATGTTTAAAATTTAAGTGAAAACACTTAGCAAAAGTTTTCAAAAGATGCACGAGAAATATCTGAGAATTTCTTTAAGTGGTCAAGATATTTCCAGAGTTTAAGATTCAATGAAAAATAATCACAAAATATTGAAAAAGTTGCTTTAAAGTGTTGATGCATGTTTTCAGTCAGCTTTAATACAAACATGTTAGCTAAATGAGGTTAATTGGCAGACAGTTTTGATGGGCTAGTACAAGAAAATGCTCTACTCTAGACAAACCCAGAGAAGTCTGGAAGGTTTCTGGTTAGTTTGGGGGTCATTTAAGGATCCAATTGCAGCACGGAGGCTATCTCCAACATATACATTACTCATGTCTTATTTTTTTAATTTTTTTTTTTAGTAAAAAGTACAAAGCTACAGCCCAAATGTACAGATTGAAAAGATGTACAAATTACATTAAAAAACAAAAACAACCCACAAACAACTGAGCTGATAGTAAAAAACAAACCTGCATTTGTGACCGAGGTCAACTCGTTTTATTTAATCTTTCTTTTAATACTGTGAGATATAGGGAAAAATAACTCTGCATAACTTATACAGTAATTTGCCTTCTGATTTGTTGACCCTTTGCATGACGGTCTGACAAACGCACAGCGTTCGCGAATCGGTAGCATTTAGCGATCCCTAAGACTCTGGCAGAGCTCAAGGGCCTGCTGTCATTTATTTCGCTTTACTCTTGCTTTCAAGGAATGTCTGTGCTTGACATTAGGTTACTTTATTTTGTTCTGGTCTCTGATGTTTCTGGAGTTAATACACAGTCTAATGAAGTTGTATAGTCTAGAAAAGTTCCTTCAATGCCCTTTACTTCTTAAAATATACATGTACATATATATATATATATATATATGTTTCGGTAAATACTTAAGGATTATTCAGTTGATCCAAAAGATCCACAGCACGGCAAGGGCAGTGCAAAAGATCTAACTGAGAACCAAGAGCACTGAGTCAGGATTTGGAGAATGTTTTCATATAAACGCGTTGTGATCTATATATATATATTTAATTTCCAGTTGGGTGAAACTCCTCATTTGCCTTAAAGCTAAGATTCCAGTTGCGGTCCCCTGCAGCCCAAGGTCCTCCTGACTTAATGGTCAAATTGCCTACCCTCTGCAAAGCGAGAAAAAAACCCATGTAGTCATCTTTTCCTATGACCCACTGTTGGATCTATGTCTTCTAAAAAGCCTTTGAATTCTTAAAAATTTCTGTGCTCACAATGCTAATAATCATTCCAGGTTATGGTGAACAATCTTCATAGTCAATTCCTACAGAGGACATAAGCATTAAAACCCAAAGAAAATGCAGAGTACTGGCCCAAAGAAGCATCCATCTCTCAGTTCAAGACACAAGAGGCAAAGTTACAAAAGTAAAAGGTTTGATCCAGGAATAACCAATATCCAGTTTTAATAATCCCCTAGAAAGGCCACAATTATCCATTAAGGGTCCCCCCGCAAAAAAATAAAAAATCCCAGAAGTAAAGAAAGTGTCCAACCAGACTGATAAAGGCCACTTGAAGATAAAAGCATCTAGTAATAGCTGCCCAAGTGTGGTGATACATGGGCGTTGGGATGGCGAGGGACATTGGGGTTTGGATAAATGCTTCCTGTAGGGGAGGTCCAATAAGGTGAGGCTGCTCCAAAGAAACTGGATGATGTGACAGGCATAGAGGAAGGGTGCGGGGGTACAAAGTTCACCTTCTGCTGGTGGGCATGGTAGGAAGGCATATAGGAGAGATCTGATGGATACTTGTATATCGAAGATTCAGTGGGATGAGGCTGAAGAGCCTGAGCAATGCCATGAAAGTCAAATTTGTAGGCATACCTTTTGCCATGCACTTTGGTCATAATGCTCTTATCATAGTAGTATCGGAGGGCTCGGCTCAGCTTGTCATAATTCATGTTGGGCTTGCTTTTGCGTTCTCCCCAGCGCCGTGCCACTTCATCAGGGTCCGTCATCTTGAATTCCCCATTGGTCCCTTCCCACGTGATACAGCTGGCATTGGAACTGTCCGACAGCAACTCGAGGAGGAACTGCCACAGCTGGATCTGCCCGCTCCCTGCAAGGAGCAAGCCAAAGAGGAAAGGAAATGACATTGTGTTTCCTGCTTAAAAGCAAAGACAAAGGCAGGAAACAGAAGGACTATCTCGATCTTTACTGGGAACTACTCCTTCAAGCCTTCGAAACTCTTACGTAGGAATGGATAAACTATTCCCAGCAAACAAGTTAGTCAACCCTTTGTTCTGTTTATGAGTTTGAGGTCAGATTAGATTTCATAATGGTCGCCTTTGGCCTTAAAAATCTTTGGGCTATTCATAAACAGGCTTTTTCTGAGCATACTGTTCTGCACAATTTTTCACTGAATGGCTGACATAGTATATTTTAACTCTTGATTGCTTACTGTTTACCAAGGATATTGTCTTGGATACCTACAGTTTCCTTTCCAGCTGAGCTGAGTTACATAAGATTATGTCTTCCCCAGACTAGGCGACTCCTAGTTTTATTCCATGTGGTTATACTAACAGCAAAGGTAAAGAACCTTATGGGGATGCTTCCTCACAAGCGTTCAGTCCCATTCCAGCAATAAACAGATTTGTCATCAATATCAATACAAAATGCCTACAGTTGTCATCCTCTAATGATGTAGTCCAGTTTTTTGAATCTCCGTGACTGCTCCGGAGCAGTATATTAGTTTGTTTAGTTCAAGTAAGATTTATTCAAAGTTTTTTCACAAAAGTCAGGGTCAGTCATCCTGCTGCGACTTTCAGAGTCGTTTTGTGCCCTCCTTTGCATTAATCCTTAGCTGGTATTGGAGAACTAACCTACCCTGCCAATCTGAGAGACTCAAATTCTAGTCCTGTATAAGGCTGTCCTTAGGGAATGCTAGTTTTGTGTAAGCACATTCAGGAAGGTGATTTCGTTCAGGTAAAGATGTTGCACGGCTTTCCTCACTTTACTGTAAGGATTTTTGTGGAAGCAGTTGTGAGACCACAAGTACTAAAACCAATGGCCCTGACAGCTTACCTAAATAGTGGAGGACAACAGCTACTCATCTAGTAGTCTGGAGCAGTAGATAACAAGAAAGCTAACTCCTCTGATAACAGAGGATTGCCTTCAAAATGGTGGTTTGAGTTTAAAGGTGAACTCACCTGGATTGGCAAGACGGCTACTAGTGGGCCCCAGGATTTGATAGGGATCTAAAATAATAATAATAAAAGAACAAAAGCTATTTTAACACATGTTTTATCAAAAAAGAAACAAAACTTCATTATTACTTATTCTGGAAATGTAAAAAATTTTTCACGTTCTTTCTTTACTTGTACTGCCTTTTTCTAGCATTAGGGGTCTGGAACAGTCCTGAGGTGTTCCTTATTTCTTTTTAAGCAAACAACCACCAATTAAATATGGAATCCAGAATGGCACAGTGGTTCTGGCAGTGGTTTCAGAGTGGCCCATTTTCAACGGTCATAATCTCTTTCGGACATATCCTACACATTTTGTGTGTCAACAAGAATGTTCAGTTGTGTGGAAAAAAAAAAACAGGTGTATGCTAGTATAGCAGTAACAAATCGGAAGTGAATATATTCCTCCTAATAAAAAGAGCTCGACAGCAGATGGGATTTTCAAATTCACTTGTTAACAATTCAGTTTGGTATCCACTGAGGTCAATGAAACACTCACCCAGCTCTCCCTTATTGAAGCAAACAGAGCATTAGACAAATGAGGGTAACAGGAGTTTTATCGCTGGCTCCAATGAGGCTGAGTGTTTCTTGAAAACCTCACAATGCATTTATTAGGAACGAATTCCTTCTCGTTTTGTGGGGCCTCCACAGCCCTAATCTCTACCCTTCTCTTTGCTTCTCTCTGTTTTTTGGTGATTTGGATCTATAGCATTTGCTCGTGGATTGAATTGATGCCAAAAGAACCAACCCCCTAAAAAAAAAAAAAGATAGAAAGCAGCTGTGCAAAGCAGAGAAGGTGGTATTTAGCTTTTCAAAAGCCCCTTGGGAAACTAGCAGGAAACATTACTGCTTGCTGTCCAACAGGGTTTGCTTTTCTTATTTGGACTGCTTTGACACTGGGGAAGCCCTGTTGATTCTAATTGGAGATACTTCCACTGAACATTGTTGCAACAGAGGTTTGGAGGTAAGAAGCAGACACGCCACCACCGCAGCACAAACAACTCCGTGCCCCAAACTGCATCAAGATCTATTACGCTGCATGTTGTGATGCTTCAAAGGAGATGCTAAAGCAACTGATGCTAGGCATTGCGTGTGACTCAGCTGAAACAAGGATGTTTCTTTTGAATGGGGAAGGACAACGCAGTAAAATAGAAACAGTTTGGAACAATTGCTGTCACTACTTGGTCACATTTGACTCATTATTCTGAGACTTCCCTGTAAGGCTCTGCTTTTTGTCCTACGCTCATGATTACTGCTGCTTGACACGTTTATCCTCCCAATCTAGTACAAATATAAATACTTAGCAAATGCAGTGGGGACACAACTAACAGTTACCTGGTTGGGGCCGTTGCTGTTCTGTTGTCTTATTCACATTTTGTGTCCCTGCAACAGGAGGGCCTGTAAAAACAGGAAAAGATCTTATATGTACAGGAACAGAAGAGAAGGAATGAACAGAGAACAAAATACATACAACACATACTGAACAGCAATAATACAGAGATTGCGATGGGAAATGTTTTCTCATCCTAAAAACTGATATATTTGAGATTTCACTGGATAATTATTAAAAATCTCATTATAACATAAAAAGTATGCAGTCTAGACAAGGAAAAATATTATGTAGATGTTTTATTCATTTTCCAGTTTTTGTTATAACTTAATGGACATCCTAATTTACATCCATGTTTTGAACAGAAAATTGGAAAAAAAATTAATGTATAAATTTTGACCCTCTTCCATGTTGGAACTTTTTCCGTATCTTTTAGAAATGGGAAAATTTTTTACATCAACCCTTTTATGCAAAAAGTTGTTTTTATCAATTGAAACACTTAGTTGAAAATATCATGGCCATGATCATGATTTCTATAAATCAGGTCAATGTTGACATCTGCTTCTCCTAGTCATGTAATTGCTGATAGCAGAAAGCTGTAACTCAAAGAATAGTCTTCACATTCAGAGTGCACATACTTCAGAAAGCTGCAAAGCAAATGAAATGTAATCTGACCACCTGGTTCTGCCACATTTATTCAAACCCTGTAGTATCTTGCTGAGAGCCAAACGTGCCCATCTTGCACTGCTGTACAGGGATATGCCCCAGCAGTGGAAGTAGGGGAAGAGTATGGCTTCATACCAGCTGCTTATGTTAACTAAATACAATCTCTAGAGGTAGGGAACCGATATTTCTAAGGAGAAGTCAGCTCATGACCCAGAGTCTACTGTGTACTCAGGGACACAATAATAAGAAAAAAACCTGTTGCATGAGTAGGGGCTCGTTCATTTAATAATCTCAAAGTAACTTAGTTATTAAGGGCCTGCTAGACTTCATATGTAGAATCTTACTTTCTCAAAAGTAGTAAGAAACCTTCAGAATCTGCCCAAGCTGTCTATATTTGTCCCTTAAAAAAAATTGCACCTCACTACAGGCTGGTGGATAACATGGAGTCTACCTTTGTATGGAGCATCCAGTCCTGGCCCCTTAATCAAATCCTGGAAGTGGTTTGTTCCACTGTAACAGCTGCTATCATCTTCAATACATGATTCAATTATAAAATAATCTGTGCTGATTTTTTTTCTTTTCACAATATAATTCTAGCTTTTTTATGTTATGGACTGTCCTCAAGTCTTCCACTGTTCTGCTGCTCATAACACAAGCCAGCCAAGCCCATCTTCTCCCACAGTCTCTCTTTCATTGCAGAATTTGTGATTCCCGTTGGGACAACTTACTTTTGGTGAGGCCAGAATTCATATTACTGCCCCATCCTGTTCTCCTGACTGCATCATAGGAGGGATCTAATGACAAAAGAGAACAGGCACAGAGGGGTTGAAATCAATTCTTCCCAGACAAACTTGCAAGAATCTAGCTTTGTTTCTTGGTCCCCCCAGCTTGGTAGTATACATAAACTATTGGTTTTCCTTCTCCCACATGTCCTATGCTCCCTTGGCCCCCTTACAAAGGCAAGGCCCTGCTGAATAGGCTGCAAACGCAGTGGTTTGGGACTTGTTTCCAGCACGACCCCAATCACACACCTTTGTGGCTAGGCTGGGCTCCCTCAGGCTTTCCTCCTGCTAGAGGTGACCTTGCCAGCCGTGGACCTTGCAGCAAGGGCATGAGGGCGTTTTGGGCAGTGCTCGAGCCTGGCATCTCTTGACCAGTGAAAAAGCAGTCGTTACAGTCGATGGAGCTAACAGCACAACTCATCTCTCCCCAAAGCAGCCCCCATCCGCAAGACCCTCCCGGCTGCGCCGCCGGACAGGGGCGGCAGGAGGGCCGCTGCCCGTGGCCGCAGCGCTCCCCACGGAAAGCTCCGCGGGCACTTGCGCATTCCTCCAGCTCTGGGAAAGCCACTTCAGCTTTGAAATTACAGCCTTTCAGTCATCGGCACGGAAAGGAAAACAGAGGGGAGGGGAGGGGAAGAGAGGGAGAGAAAGAGGAGGAGGGAAGAGAGGGGAAAGGGGAAAAAAGAGCTCATTTAATGCGCCTGTTTTTATTTTTATTTTACTTTTTATTTGTGTGTGTGTGTATATATATATTTTTTTTTTCTAGAAACCGCAAACCCCACTGCAAATAGATCAGACTGAAAAACAAACTGCTACGGTTTCAGCCTGGTACAAAGAGCGCGCCGGGCCATCTCTGCAGAGGGACAGGAGGCTGCAGCGGCGGCCCCGGGCAGGCGGGC